CCATTCAGTCTGATGGGATTATTGCTTCCAAGTGGAAATACTGGACAGGATAGGAATTCTAGACACTGAGATGAGTATATAGATAACTGGGCAGATAAAAGGTTGGAAAGATTGCTTACCACTAGGACAAAGGGGTCCCATAACAGGAGACAAATTCAACTTGTTCAGGTCTTGCTTCATCCTATAATGTTAAAGATGGCCTTAAAAGATAAGGTGTCCCTGTAGGATCAGCTAATTTCTCTTCCTCCCCATAGCTTCCAAGGCAGGAGAGGCTGAATGTACTAATATCTCACTTACTAGGGGAACAGCAGGAATTCAATTGATACTCATAGAAGTCTCCTAAATACTTAATTTCTTAAAAAGTGGAGTTTTTCTTTTACTATTGCTAACTTCTCTACAAAAACAAACAAAAGAGAAGTCAAGAAGTAAAAAAATAAAGTTGCTAAGCTCTCAGTAGTAGGTAAGAGCAATATTAAGATTTTCTTTTCATCCTTTTCATCCATCTTGTACGTATTCAGTATGATGCTATTACTCCTTATGTAATGGTGAATAAAATTTTGTATGTAAGTTTTCTCCTTCCTTCATTTTAGCAACTTGCAGGGACTAGCAGAGAAGTTACTCAAGAATTTGGAAGAAAGTCTGTGGAGGGATTCTTTGAGAGATTCCTCACAGTGTGAGGAAGTTGTGCAGTTGCTCACACTGAAGCAGTGCTGCTGAGATATATGATCTTGAACCTGTCCGCAGATTCCCAGTATGTCTGAAGCAAATCATCAGTCATCAATCTCCCTGAAGATAGCTTGTGATGTTAGCACTTCTTGTCCTGTTAGGAGCATGGGAAGTCAGCCATGAAAGTTTACAAGTCGCTGAAGAGAGTTCATCACCTTTATCCCCTTCTCTCTACAGAACCTGGACAATATGTGGTGGGAAAGATGTGCAAACACAGTGAATAGCCAAAAAAGGAAAAAAGACTGATCTTCCATTTAATGCCATGTTTGCTGTCACTGAACACTGGATAAGACGGGCTTTTGAGTATTCAGTAACGTCATAACAGATTTAGTCAAAATGTGCATGTGGAACTTGCTGAATTAGCACTGTTTTTAGTAGCTTTTACATCTCTGCAGTTACAGAGCAGGAAAGCTCTTTGAACACAGAAATTCCTGTGAGGGTTCTGTGCTAGATGCTCCTGTCAGAAAACTGCAGCTCAGCTTTACATAAGTCATGCAGAGTGCCTGGTGCTGTCTGCAGATCCATGATATCTTTAAATGGGCATATTATGGGTCCGTGAAAAGGTAGCAAAACAGTTCTAGGACCCTCCTTAACAACTTCCATGCTCCTTCCTTTTTTAAGAGCCTCCTCTACCAAATAGTGCAAGGAGGCAGAGGATAACTAACAAAAGAAAAACATTTGGTTTATCACTGGTTGTTTTTTCATTCACAACATACTCTCACTGTAGTTTAAAATTTTACAGGAACGGAAAAATAAATATGAAGCAACCACATTCAACTTTCTGCAATTTCTGCCCAGGCAAACTAGAGAGTCTGTCCCATTCTGTATCTTAGTCTTTTTTTATCTTTTTTTAGGTGCATATAGAAAGAAAACAACTTGTTCTCAAAGTCTTGAGTTCCCCATTCTGATTCTCTCTTAACTTGATGCAAGTGTCTCCATTTCTTGCAAAAGAGACTCAAGATTCAGAGAAGGGAACACTTTATTTTCAACTTACTAAAGCATTTTTCAGTTAGATTTCTATAACCTTTTATGTCCAAAAGTGCTAGCACACCTCAGTAAGTTAAAGACACTTAACTACAGTAGCATTTTGGAAACTTTTTATACAGACACATTTTTGGCACACCAGTGCTATATTCACATTCATTCTTTTGCTGTAGCATGGAATGTTTCTTTTCATTATAGGTATTTATGTAAAAGATATCTTCGTTGAGCCAGATCCTAGCTAATATATCTGGATCCATTTCTTTACTTTTGACACCCATCTAGTGGACACAATAGAGTATCACAAAATTCCTACCACAACAGCTATGTGCACATCTTGCATATGCAGTTAGCTGGTGGGGCAAGCAGTGGGGCCTCTCAATGCCAACGAACTCTGATTTTATAGAATTGACTTCTCATCTTTTTATGGTCAATATTTAATAACCTGACAGTGAAGTCATTCATGGAAGCTTGGCCTTAGTTTTTGACTGGAAAAAAATAAAATTAGTAAGTGAATATTCATACTGTGTCACGAAAGGTGGATGAAAACCAAATCTGCAAAAAAAACTGCATGTTACTATAATCCAGTGAAATCTGACCACTTATGTGTTTGAATAATTAAGTCCATCATGAAGAAAATTAATTTAATAGACATTCCTTTTTTTGGCATTTTCCTGCTGAATCAGAGTCATGTTTATCTTCATTTATACCACCCTAAAGCTTTTATTTCAGGTTTTCTACAAGCTATATATATGTACATTTGAAATAATATTGTCTTTCAGAATTAATCTTGCTAAGCACAGGAGTAAATAACCACCTTCTTTTTTATATAAAACTGCATGCAATGTCTACCATTTTGTCCTTAGCAGAAAAAAATATGCAGACTGTTTTTGTTTAGGAGTTTGTGTTTCTTTGCATCTGTTTGAAGAAAATAATGTTATTATTTTGGCAATTAAGTAAGTGTCATGATTTTGAGTTCTTAAATGTTCCAAAACCTTAACTGGCACTGTATTTTTTTCTGTTCTTGAAATACTCAGGAAATCAAAAGAAATCAGTATCTTTATCGATGTCTTTATCAGTATCTATCAATGTTAATATTACTAGTGAGTAGTGTAGTCAGACTAGTGGTAATGGTAATATAGACATTAATGTATGGCCGTATAAGCTGCAAGGATATCTTATTTCTTTTTGTTATTTTATTTTTTATTTCTTTTTGTTACTGTTTCACCATTCACACTATCTTGTACATTCATCTTATCTAACAACAGTCACAGTAGTATTCATACTGACTTGCCCTTTGAAATATTTTTTCACTTTTTTGGGGGAGAAGGGGGAGCAGATCTCACAGTGATCAAAAGCAGGGAAAATGAAACAAAGAAAGGAGCTTTGCTTTGTCCAGAATCATTCAGCAAAGTGGTGGCAGAACTCTCATTCACTGTCATGCAGATTATGTTTTTTTTTTAGTTTGAAATCAATAATGTTATGTAATGAGAGTGTATTAGAAGACACAGAAGTAGTCTGACATAATTAAAAGAATTTCCCAAATTTGGGAAAACATATATGTCTTAGTATTAACTGCTAGTGAATTGTTTTGGAAACATCTGTTGAAGTTGATTTGTTTAATAATCTGTATTTATAACCTGTATTGGTCTATTAGAGTTTTTTTAATGCCTGATTTATTATACACTTTGATTACTTTGCTAACTGAAAAGTACCTGTTTAATGCCTGTTAGTAGCTCTTTCTTAATAACTTTTTTGAACAAAAATAAAATTGCTTTCTGAGGCAATATATAGGCAGTGTAGATTTATTTGATTAGTTAATTCAGCATGCAAAAAGGCTGGAGGAGTTCTGTCACTTCAGTGAAATATTACCACTGCTGACAAGGCAGCCTCAGGTCAGTGGTAGATAACAGCAAGAAGCAAGCTAGTGCAGAGAGTAGCTTGTACCTGCTGTGACATGTGCCAGGCTGAAGTCTAATCAAGAGCTGATATGTACCAACTATTTTCTCTTCAACTGCCCTTAGACATGATTGAAAACAGTGGGTTATCCTTCATGTGAACACTCTTTTCAAAAGATCTATTTTTAGAATTGTTTGTTAGATTCTAAAGCTTACTGACACTTAAAAAGTTATGTGATAGGTCCTTTTGTTCATGAATCATTCCTGTGTGCTGTAATAGCATTAGTATTTGTAAACCAAGGTCATACACACCTTTTCTCACATGCTTTAGAACTAAAATTTATCTTCAGTTTTAGAGATGCAATCAAGAGAAACAGATGTCCTTCTACTTCTGGCCTATTGGAATGTGCTCCAAAACATTCCAATGTGTCTGCTTAACATATGCAGACAAAATGTTGCTAATCAGTCATTCATGACTTCCAAGAGTCCATACTGCAACAACATGAAATCTAGAAACTAAGCTACATAATCCAAAAAGACTCTTGTCTGGTACCAAATACAGCTATCACACTGCTAAACAGCACGGATTGCCATGAATGCATCACCCAGCGCTGCTTACCCTGCTCTGGTTTCTAATTAATTGAGTCCCATCCAAGGTCTTTGTATGGATTTTCAGAGCCCTTTGTGGAGCTGTCTCTGTTTTTTTTGTGTGTGTCTCTCATGACAGCAGTGCTCTTTCGAACTACCAAACAATAACTATAAGTACTAGATTGAAACTGCAGAGTTCAAAGGTGTAAGACAAGAATGGCCGCAGTAGTCATTCTGTTTGGCAGTGATCACAGAGCTCATTCATTCATTCCAATTTCAAAATACTATCTCCCTCTAGTGCGTGCAAATACACATTATTCATGCTTGATTTATTGAGAAGAGACAAAATACATTCTTGAAGTACTTGAGTAGTAATGAAGTATGAGGAATGGGTACTCCATAACAAAAAGAACACCTGCCTCACTCCACTAGGAATTGGAGTAATGAGGGTCAACCTCAGGAGAGATGGGGCCTTAAGAAGAGAACTGTGTCATGTTCCTGATGCAGAGAGCTCATAAGCAATCAGCATACAGAGAAGCACATAGGTTCCTGTATTCCTGATAGTGGTTTGTTTTTTTCCACTACCAAGTTTAGTTTCCTTCACATTTATTTTTTGGTTATCAGCCATTGTACACTGTATTTCTTATGTACCTTGTTTTTGCATTAGCAGTGAAATTGACCAGATCATGATTTCTCCAATTAACGAGAATAAAATCTGCCTACTGATAAATTTGCCAGGAGAGTGTTCATTACTTTCAAAACTCTTATGCCTATGGCACAAATCTTTTTTTTCCTTTCTTTTTACAGTTTCGATGTGGACAATGGTACGTCATCGGGACGAAGTCCCTTGGATCCCATGACGAGCCCTGGATCAGGGCTAATTCTTCAGGCAAATTTTGTCCACAGTCAACGTAGGGAGTCTTTCCTTTACCGGTCAGACAGTGACTATGATCTTTCTCCGAAGTCTATGTCGAGGAACTCCTCTATTGCCAGTGATATGTAAGTACATTATGAAATTCTTTTAGCATATGTTTTGGGCTATAATTGTGTTAACATATTTCCAGCCACAAGAAATGTTTAAAATTCAAAGAGAATAATCAGTTGTGTTACTGATGTCATGGATATTTAGATAATTATTTCATTATTTATGCTTTATTTGTTTCTGCAGTATTTTGAAAGCTTATCTTGAAAATGTACTTGATGTGCTTATGCACTGTACTAACTTTGACAGAATACTGAAGGAAAACAGTACTGATTTTCACAACACTAAAGAGAACTGTGATATCTTGGTTATTAAGATTTTTTCAACTCAAGCTATACAAACTCTATTTCTGCTTCAAAATATTCTTTTTTTTTTCTTTTTTTCTTTTTTTTTTTTTTTTCCCCCATTTATTTAGAGTAGGTATTTGTAAGTTTTTAGATATAAGATTTACTACTTGTCGTAGAGTCACAGAATGGTTTGGGTTGGAAAGGGCCTACAAACCATTCCAGCCCGCTGCCATGGGCAGGAATACCTTCCACTAGACCAGGTTGCCCAGGATCCCATCCAGGCTATTCTTGAAAACCTGCAGGGATGAGCATGCACAACTTTTCTGACAACTTGTTCCAGCACCTCACAACTCTCGTAGTGAAAAAATTTCTTCCTTTTAACTAATCTATATCTACCCTCTTTTAGTTTAAAACTATTACCCTTTCTCTTATCAACTACAATACTTGATAAAGAGTCCCTCCTCATCTTTCCTGTAGGCTCCCTTTAAATACTGAAAGATCACAACAACATCTACCCCGACCTTTCTCTTCTTCACCCTCAGTTCCCTCAGCCTGTTTTCAAAGGGGTGGTGCTTCAGCTCTCTGATCATCTTTTGTGGCACTCTTCTGGAAACATTATTAATGTGTTCCATGTCTCCCTTCTGCTGGAGAACCCAGAGCTGAGTGCAGTATTCCAGATGGAGTTTCATGAGCATGGTCTAGGGAAAGAAGATCACTCCCCTTTACCAGCTAGCTAGATTTCTTTTACGATAGAATAGGATAGAATTACAGAATATATTCTGAGTTAGAGGGAATTCACAAGGATCATTAAGTCCAACTTGTTGCTCCACACAGGACCATCCAAAAATTCAAATCATATTAATAAAAACAGAATGTCCTGAGTTAGGTGGGGCATCAACCACCTTGCTAGGAAGCCTAATCCATTATTTGACCAACTTCACAGTATAAAAATTTTCCCAGTGCCTAGTCTAAAACTCCTCCAACAACTTTGTGCATCATGCCATCAGTGCCCAGCAGCAGAGCTCGGCACCTCCCTCTGCTTCCCCTCCTCAGGATGCTGCAGGGAGCAGTGAAGTCATCTCTTCACCTCCTCTTCTCCAGACTGGACCACCCAACTAACCTCATTCTCTTCTTACAGGACATGCCTTCCAACCCTCTGCCAACTGTGTTCCCTCCTCTGGACACATTCAAGGACCTTAACACTCTTACATTGTACACAGTATTTAGATTGGGCTGCATCAATGCTAAATATAGCATGAGAATCTCTTGTTTTGCCAGTGTGGTTGTGCTGTGTTAATGCATCTAAAAATGCAGTTTGCCCCGTGGCTGCCAGAGCATACTTCTGGCTTATGCTTACCTGTGGGCACCAACACCCCTAGGTCCCTTCCTGCTGCATTGCTCTTCAGCACTTGTGTCCCATCTGTGCCTGAATCTTGCATTGCTCTGTTGTAGGTGCAGCATTATCCTTAGCTGAGGTTCTTGCTGCTGCTGATGACAGCAGGGTTGGTCTCTACTTTCTGGTAACAGGTGATAGGAGAAGGGGAAATGGCCTTAAGTTGTACCAGGGGAGGTTTAGGTTGGATATCAGAAAAAAAATTCTTTACAGAAAGGATTGTTAGGCACTGGAATAGGCTCCCCAGGTAGGTGGTTGAGTCACCATCCCTGGATGTGTTTAAAAATCTTTTCTGGATATGGTGTTCAAGGATGTGATTTAGCAGTGGGTTGTTAGAGCTAGAGTAGTATGGTTAGGTCGTGGTTGGACTTGATGATCTTGAAGGTCTTTTCCAACCTGAGAAATTCTATGATTCTATGATTCTATAATTGCTCAGGGCTCCAGTGTCTCTAGAACCAGGACAAGCTTGACTTTCTGGGCTGCAAATGCTCACTGCTGGCTCGAGCTAACTTTTGCATCTACCAGTGCTCCCACGTCCTTTTCCACATAGTTGCAGGCCTGTACTTACACAGCTTGTATTCATGTTTGAAACTGCTCCAACCCAGATGCAGGAGCCTGCACTTGGCCATGTTGAACTTTATGAGGCTCACAAAAGCTGAGCTCTCAAGCTTGTCTAGATCTCTCTTGATGGCATCCATTCCCTGCAGCATGTGGACCACACCACACAGTTCGGTGTTGCTAGCAAACTTACTGAGGATGCACTCAGTCCCACTGTCCATGTAAACGACAGAGATGTTAAACAGCACTTGTCCCAGTACTGACCCTGGAGGAGCACCACTAGTCACTGGTCTCCACCTGGACATAGAGCTGTTGACCACAGCATTTGAAATGTGACCATCCAGCCAGTTCCATTCATGAAATCAATGTCTTTCCAGCTTAGTGAAAAGAATGTTGTACAGGCTGTATCAAATGCTTTGTCCTAGTCCAGGTTGAAAAATTAATAAATTTGAGAGAGGCAAAGGAGAAGATCTTTGGAAAGTTATTCTGTCCTCGTACTGAAGTAGTCTATTTTTTCTGTGTTATGCATTTCTTCTGTTAGTGAATCATAATTTGCTAATATGTGTAAATGCCAGATTGGATGGATAGAGGAAGTTAGATGATTGTGAAATACAGTGAAAACATGTTAAATACCCATCTTCTGTCACCTGAAAATTATAGAAATCAAGAATTTTTGTTCATTTGTTTGCTTAATCTTCTACAAATTTCACTGCCAAATAGGTGTTTATGGCTCAATTATGAACTTTTATGAACAATTATGAATTATGACCATCCTTATAAGAGTTTCCTAGTGAATAAGGATGTAGAAAGCATTAAAAATCCAGCATCAATATAGAAAAAAAGCCAACAATAAGCATCCTCTTTAAAAAAAAAAAAACAGCCAACAGACAGCACTAGTATTCAAAACAAAGGAAATTGGTTTTCATAATGAGTGAAATTTTATGTGATACTTCGCTCATAATCATTATAATTGGAGATTCCTATTCTCACCTTATGTTTTGTTCTTAGAAGTGTTAATTAGACCATCTATTTATAACTTTCTTCCTAAGTAAGTGTCAAGATGAACACAGCTCATGCCTTTGTTTTGGTTGTTTAAGGTCCATCACCAGTTAAGTTTAGTAGATTGAAGTACTTTTAAGCTTTGTTCCTTTTGTGACCAATTTTGACTGAGACAAAATGAATAAGACCATGCCCTGTTGCCTTATAATTAACAAAAAAAAGTTTTCAGTTTGTAAATGGAGACCCTCATCAAGGAAGCCTTTTTCTGACATGTAATATTTCTTACAGATGTACCAAAGTTAAGCTTTTGGTGCTGCACTCTTGTAAGGATACCATTTAGGAAGTTTTTTACATTCAGGCAGGCAATCCAGGTCATTGCATTGCTCAGATGAGTCATTTCAATTTAGAATTCAATTAGTGTTCTGTCCTTGCACTCATAATCCTCTTCTACATTTCCTAGAATTCTGGGTAATATTTCAGCACATGAAAATAAATTGAATTAAAAAATTAATTACTGAAACACTGAGCACACTTTCTTCTTTGGATATTTGTATCTACTCTTGACCCTTTCTGGGTTCAGGACCCTGAACTTTGGAACAGCGAACTTTAAGCTGTTCAATGGATTGTTGGCCAAGATCTCTTGAGATGCTGCCCTTAAAGACAAAGATGTTGAGGAGAGCTACCCTTCAAGGATGCCCATCTGAGAGCACAAGAGCTCTCCATCTCTGAAGAGCTCTGAATAAGAAAGCGGGAAGAGGAGGCAGGAAACCGGCATGGCTCAGCAAGGATCTGCTGGGCGTGCTGAGGGAAAAGAAAGGTGCATACAAACTCTGGAAACAAGGGCATGTCACCTGGGAAGAATACAAGGATGCCATCCAGGCTTGCAGACATGGGATCAGGAAAGCCAAGGTGCAGGCAGAACTGAATTTGGTGAGGGATGTGAAAAACAATACGAAGACTTTCTACAGGTACATTGTCCAGAAGAGACTGGCCAATACAAATGTACCTCCTTCGGTAAATGTAAAAGGAGAACTGGCTGAAGAGAAGGCTGAGGTACTGAATGAGTTCTTTGCCTCAGTCTTCACTGGTGGCCAGGATTCCAGTATTTCTCACATCCCTGAGCCATGCATCCCTAAACCTCTAGGTGGGGTCCAGGTCAGTAAATCCCCCCCACTATAAGGGCAGAGCAAGTTTGAGGCAGCCTTATTAGACTGAATGTGTACAAGTCTATGGAGCTGGATGGTGTGCATCCCAGGGTTCTGAAGGAGTTGGCTGAGGTGGTTACTGAGCCACTCTCCATCATATTTAAAAAGTCGTGGCTGTCAGGTGAGGTCCTGAATGACTGGAGGAAGGGTCATGTCATTTCCATAAGGGAGCAAGGAAGACATGGGGAACTATAGGCTGGTGAGTCTCACCTCTGTGCCTGGGAAGATGGTGGAACAGATCATCCTGGATGACATGCTTGATCACATGAGGAATAAGCGTGTGATCCAAGACAACTAGCACGGCTTCACCAAGAGAAGGTGGCCTTCTATGATGGAGTGACAGCATTGGTGGACAAGAGAAAGGCAACCAATGTCATTTACTGGACTTGAACAAGGCCTTTGACATGGTCCCCTATCACAGTCTTATCTTTAATGGAGGGATGTGGATTTGATGGGTGGACCACTCGATGGATAAGAAATTGGTTGAAAGGCCGCAGGCAGAGGGTGGTCATCAATGGCTCCATGTCCAGGTGGAGGCTGGTAATGAGCAGCATCCCATAGGGGTCTGTCTTGGG